TGTAGAGATGAGGTCTCGCCAGGTTGCCCAGGCGGGTCTTGAACCCATGGGCTCAGGCAATTCACTCACCTCAGCCTCCCAAGGTTCAGGATTACAGGCTGAGCCACCGAGCCTGACTTTGAGTCCATTATTTATAGTCACCCAACACATAATTTTTTAGTGAACTCTACCTTAATATTTCACAAATCTACTTTGCAAATGCTCTGTCTTATGGAGACAGATTACTGATTAGAGATTCAACATTTCTTAAGTGTTCATCTCTTATTTCATAACAAAGAAATGAAATTTCTAACAATAAAAAAAGACCAATAATTGACTTATTTGTCAAATTATTACTTACTACTTTGACTAAAATTCTTTAGATATTATTCAGTAAAGATGCATGTTTATATTGGCTATATTTTCTTTAGCAAAGAACAGTAAACTTCTTCACAATGTTCTGTCAGAATTACATCTTTTTATGACAACATTGCTATTTTATGGCTTATCTCATTGCACGATTATTAAAAATTTTGTCAAGGTATTCCAAGTTTAATGTGACTATTATATTAAGATTAGAAGATTAAAAGATGCCAAGACAGTTTGTGGAATATGACCAGATGCAGTATATATTTAAAGGTAATTGCTAATATACAAATTCTATTTCATATAAAAATCTCTACTTTCCTTTGGCATTAGAAACTCAATTACTTACACCTTAGAATTTTAACTTAATTTGAGGCATTTACTGAAACATTGCTTTTATATTGAAGAGTCCTTTAAGGGAAAATTCTCTGCCTTGCCATATTTATATTTTCACTCACAAACCTGAGCTAGGGAATACAATGTACAAAGTACCAAATAATGTTTTGAATACAATTGAATTTTCTTTGTAAAGAAATGTACTGGTTGTCTGGTTTAAAATGTCACTGGGGTACAAAATTGTCTCACAATTTCCAGCAAAATAACATACGAAGTTTTTGAAAAAGATAAATATGCCACAATCTGAGAAAACTAATGCTTGGAGTCAACTTCGTGTCAGAATCTGAGTGAAATTTCTATGATAAGTTTGGTGAGGATGTAGTGAGAAAAACGAACTCTGTCCATTGCATTCTTTCACTCATGCACAGGATAGCCGATTCATATGAAAGGAAGAAGATTCTTGAGACACTCCCTCAGAGATTCAGACTTCCTGCTAAATAAAAGAGCAGCCATCCCTTTACTGAGAGGATGTTGCTGTTCTACGTGCCAGAGTAATTATCCTGTCCTCTGTTACTATGGTCTGATATATAGAGGGGGCCTCAAAAAAAATTTTAAGAAAGAAACAACGGTATTAAAACTGTAATAGTCAATATGTAACCATAACAAAAGATGAATACAAGTCACATTTGATTTCTGCAGTTACAAGAGGTGCTCAGAGTGGGTACCATCAGCATCCAGACACTTCTGATGATGGTAAACTAAAAGTAATGCATAGATAACATCTCTTAAAATGTGTATGCTTTTTTAGGGCTTCTCTGGTATACTTAGAGAAAGCCACACCTGGTAAAAGAGAGGACTAACATCAGGAAATATGGAGAAAGGAAGTTGCAGCTTAGTGGGACTGGGGTGGAAGTTTTTATCAGTTGTATGAACTGAATATTTGTGTCTCTGCCAAATTCTATGTTGAAATCTAAACCCAACATGATGGTATTTGGAGGTGGGGGGGGGTCTTTGGGAGGTTACTAAGTTATGAAAGTAGAACTCTCCTGAAAGGGATTAGTGCTCTTCTGAAAGAGGCCAGAGGGCTGGCTGTCTCCTTCCAACATGTGAGGACACAATGTGAAGTCAGCTTGTCTGTGACCCGAAAGAAGGCCTTCATCAGAACTTCACCATGCTGGCACTCTGATCTCAAATGTCCAACCTCCAGAACTGTAAAAGATACATTTCTGCTGTTGATGAGGTACCCAGGGTATGGCGCTTTGTCACGACAGACTGACTGGACTAAGAAATTAACAATGGTTCTAGGCATTCTGGGGAGTATAGTTTCCACCACCCTATTGTTGATAGGGTCAGAGACAAGAAGGCATCGAGTGACAACGTGCCCTGGGAGCAGAGTTTTTCCCATGCCACACTACTTTCACTCCATATTGAAAGGACAGACCGAGAGTGGGAAGTCATTTTTCATCTTGTTCTTAAACCCTGACTCAATGATGAGAAAGTAGAAGCTATGCTTTTGGAAAAATTGCACACTTTAGGTATAATTAACTTTACTGACTTTGTCTTTTCAGAAACAGACTTCCAGGTATCAGAGGTATCTCATAGCAGCAATCAAGCTTGCCTAGAGTAAAGGGAATTTACAAGGCCTAAGACAACTTGCATTGGGCAAAGATTGTAAAAGTCATGAAACTTGTACGGAAGTTACGACAGCTCAGAGGGGGAGCAGGTGGGGACTCCATCTTGTAAATTGGGCACTATCTACAGGGAAGCCAAGGATCGCTCGAAGCTACCCAGTGGGAATGCCTAGGAGATAAGGGGAGGTACACTCTCCATTAGGTCTAAGAAATGTCGTTTGGGAAGGTGCAAGATAATTAGAATCCTTGTCATGCCCTTCTCTAGGGGCTATGACAATGTGGGCAGACGTTAATTGGTCTCTGTGTCACAGGTTCTCCAAGACATCTGCAGGTGGTCAATAAGGAAGTCACAGCAGTCATGTGCAACATCTCCAAGAAAAGAATTTAAGCCAGGACTCTGGGGGGGAGGGGTACTTGGCCACACTCACCTAGAGTGTAGACCCACTCCCTGTCTGTGGGGGGTGAACTTTTCTTAAATAAATCTTTTCTTCTCTCATCTCTGTGTTGCAATTCTTTTCATTTACTCTGATCTCTGGGTTGCCTGCGCACACCTCTGGCTTTCCAGCCCTGGCAGTGCTGTGTGCCTCCCTGAGCCTCTCCACTCTCACCCAGTCTGTCCTTCTGTACCCTAACATTTTTGGAGGTCCCATTGAGATCTGTCTCTCTCTCTCTCTTTATTTCCTAATTGGTGAACCTCTGTGGACTGTGTTGGAACCTGGTTGCAACTGAAGGCTCTGACTGAGGCTACACTTCAGCGTGCTGAAAGGCTCCAGGGAAAGACATCAGACTGCTGGGGCCCGACTGGGTGAGGGACTAAGGTTAACTCTTTGCTTCCTTCTAGGCAAGATTTCTGAGTTTCCCTGTGGACCCGGCTGGATCTCGGAGGACAACTGATGGTCTCTGCCTAGGGCTACTCCCTAGGGAGGCAAGAAGGTCTGCGAAGGAAAGTTCAGACCGCCAGCTCCTGTAAGGGTGGGAGACAAAGTGCTTAGTTTCTTTACTCTTTTCCTCTCTGGCTGGCAAAGTAACTCCACGAGGGACCTAAAAACTCCAACAGCTAGGGTACGCCTTTCTGCGCCTTTGGTGAGACATTCCCTTTTTTTTCATCTACACACATATTTGAATGCGCGCTCTTGGACCGTCCTTTGTTCAGATGACTTTCTGGGTCACTCGGGTTTCCGGTTCCATCTTGGGAGACTCCTAGCAAGGGTCAGGGACCTAGTTGCTCAAAGTCCTTATACTAGGCCTTCCAAGACATGGTGAAACTTGCATCTGGCAAGCTCTAGTGGGCAAAGGGACAGGAGGACGCTCTCTCCCTGCTGACTCACATCCTCTGCGCTGATTCCTTTGAACCTGTTGGGGATGCCCAGCAGGGGATCTGGATGGGAAAAGGCCCAGAAACCCATCCATGATACCAAGACCCCATTCCAATAGTACCCCTGTTTCCTTTTCCAGGAAACATGGGAAACTCTCAATCGGTTGTGAAGAAGGATACACCACTGGCATGCCTTTTAAAACACCTTAAAGTTTTAAAACTCAATCCGAGAAACCAAGAGCCCATCCCAACTGTCCTTTCACTACAATACTGCTTTGCAGTCCCGGCACCGGCTCCGGCCCACCTTGCTCCAGCTGACTTTTTCATCTGGTGGATAAGTATGTGGAAATTCCTTTTACTAAAATACTGCTTTACAGCCCCAGCACCTTCTCTGGCCCACCTTGCCCCAGTTGACCTTTTCATCTGGTAGACAAGTATGAGGAAATTCCACAATATAAGCTGAGGAATAACAAAACCTGGCCAAAAAGTAACACCCTAGCTCCTAACACCCTTCTGAAGCTTGATTTATACCTAAGAGATAACAAATACCTTGAAATTCCATTATATTCAGGCTTTTTTTTTTTTTTTTTTGAGTTAGAGTCTCACTCTGTCGCCCAGACTGGAGTGCAGTGGCCACTTCCGGCCACCACAGCCTCGACCTGCTGGGCTCTGGTGATCCTTCCGCCTCAGCCTTCCAAGTAGCCAGAATTACAGGCATGCGCTACCGCGCCCGGCTGATTTTTTGATTTATTGTAGAGATGAGGTCTCGCTGCCCAGGCGGGTCTCGAACCCGCAGGCTCAGGCAATCCACTCACCTCAGCCTCCCAAAGGTGCGGGATTACAGGCTGAGCCACCGAGCCTGGCACTATTCAGGCCTTTTATGAGTTAGCTCACCACCCAGTTGTCTGTTCCTCTTGCCGTATTTCTGTGTTGGCTCCCCAGACCCCATTGCCCATAGGCTCACCAGTATTACAACTCCAATTCCTGCTTTTCAACTATCAACTCAAAGTCTAACCCAGCAGGTTTAACTTCTCTTGTCTCTGTTATAGTCTGCTTTTGCTATTCCACTCTTCATCAGTTTCTCTTCCTTCTCGTCCTCCACCTTTATCTGCGAAGGAAGGGCTGGCGTCTACAGCTGTGGCACCTAACCCTGGCCTTCACTTTTTCTCTTTTACCTTTGGAGAAGGAGCTGGTGCCAAAGGCCATGGCACCTGACCCCAGCTTCCAGTCTTTCTCTTTTGTCTTTGGAGGAAGGCCCGGCACCAAAGGCCATGGCACCTACCCCAACCTCCAGCCTTCTCACTCCCCTCTCCTCACTGCTTAATTACCTCCTAGTGGCTGCCCTACTAGCTGCAATAAGTCACCATCCCCACGTGTAATTGGAAAGCCCACTCAAGTTTCCACATGGCTTAATAGGTCTCTTCTCAAGGGGGTGGCTGGGACAAAAGGATATTAACAATTCTTCTTTGTTGTTTTCTTATGATAAATTTCTCTCAAGTTATATCTAAACTGGGACTATACCAACCCTCTTTCCAGACGAAAGTAAAGGGATCATATAAATTAATCCTGTTAATAAATTAATCTACCACTTTAGCAGAGAGAGCCACCACTGATAATCTTCCACCCCAGATGGTCAATTGCAAAAGGGGTACACAACCCTCTTCCCAGGTTTGTGCCCAATGCCATCAAAATGGGCATATGGCCAAAGACTGTCAAGCCCTGCCACTGGCAAAACCCTATCCCAAATACAAACAGCATGAACTTTGGGCTCATGATTGCCTCATTCGCCCAGATGGAGGAAAACACATGGCCCAGAGGATTGCTGCAAATGAGGGACACCAGGCGCCTTGCACAATCTCAGAAGGGGATCTCTTAGGCTTGCTCCAGTCGGATTGACTCGCCCCTGGCTTGGTAGCCCCAGTGTCTTCGGAACAAACTATTAAACCAACTGAACCTAGGGTGGAAATATCAGTAGCTGGCAGGGTTATATATCATTTGTTATTAATACGGGGGCTACATGCTCAGCTCTACTTAAGTTTCCTGGTCCACTCCTTCCTTCACCCCTTTCGGTTGTGGGGGTGCAGGGCATTATATCCAGGCGCCTCACTATGCCGTTACTTCCATGTGTTCTGGGAGATAAAGTACTTCAACACTCCTTCCTTGTTATGCCAATGTGTCCAATTCCATTATTGGGAAGGGACATTACGACAAAAATTGGAACTCATATTATTCTTTACCCTGAGCCATCATCACTGTGCTTTTTGGGTGCCTTTTGTTTAGCTTTGGATTCCCCTGATAGTTCTGTGTTGGATCCTATCCAAGCCCTTCCACTGCATATAAACTTATTGCTTTGGTTAGAGCTCTGAGGTTAGGAAAAGTGCAAAGAAAGTTATTGGCATGAGGTATGTTTTTGGTAAAAAAGGATAAAAAAAAATAATTATATAGAAGAGAATCTTGTTTGGTACATTTTTGTTCTATAATAGAATGGCTGGTTATTTAAGGAAAGTATAGAACAAAAATAGAAGGTTCAAGCATGTCGAAAAATGTTATGAGTATGTCAAACATGGTAGGTAAAATTTTGTGAAAAAAAGTAAAAGAAATTCTATAAACACTCGAGGCTACAAAAAAGGTTCTATATAAATTTACCATTAATATCAAGTACACTAATGCTAGGCCAACATGCTACTCAAAGACCAGTACATGAGTTTCTTAATTAACAATCTCCAAAAGAATTTTCTCCTTTAAACAACAGAGGCAGGGGAGAAAGAGACAAAATTCATTTAGCCCTCCCCTACTGTCTTTGTTACAAAAAAGTTTTTTTTTTCTCCCCCACTGTCTTTGTTACAAAAAATGAGGGTTTTTTTTTTCTTTTCAAAATTTTCGGATTATCACTTTGGCTAAATAAGTAACTTACAATAACTACTGTGATTGTGTGTTGTAACATTATGCTTTTAAAAACTTTAATACTTAAACTCTTAAAGTTCTCAATCAGTCTCTCTAGGGTGAGATAAGAAGCAAGATCCAGGAACCACACCTGCCCCACATCCTCCCCTGAATTTCCTGCAGACCAGGAACAAGGATTACTATCCAACATAGAATGAATGGCAAAATAACTGGGCTTCACCCTCTAGCATAGCAATTGTTGTAAAAGTATATCAGACCTATTATAAAAACAAAGGAAACTGTTTTCTATTGCCAATGTTTACCTGTTTTGAATTCACAATTTAAGCTACAACCTAACTACATGTCTCTAATGTTTTCAATTTTTCTGTCTTCAGACTTTGTCAAAGTGGCTGTATTTCCTTGTTAAAGGACAAGTATAGATAATTTACAAAGGAATATTTCAACTTGTGTTAATGAATACATATAATTTACAGGACTTTCACTTGTCCAACATTGTTTTTTGGGCGATAGCCTTTTTCAACATCGTTTGCTTAATAATTTTTGCCTGTGCTCTCACTCGATGTTTCATTAGATCCAAATAATATTTGGTTAAGGTTCTGCCATTTCCTGTTCGTGTCCCTGGAAATAGAAAGGTAGGGACATCACTACGGCCCCATCTCAGCAGGAAGTAGATACAGAAGAAAGATCTTTGTCCTGTTTCTCAGGATCATAAGAATATTTCCAAGAGCAGGAGTGGGGAATGAAAGGACAGACAAAGAGTGGGAAGCCATTTTTCATCTTGTTCTTAAACCCTGACTCAATGATGAGAAAGTAGAAGCTATGCTTTTGGAAAAATGCACACTTTAGGTATAATTGACTTTACTGACTTTGTCTTTTCAGAAACAGACTTCCAGGTGTCAGAGGTATCTCATAGCAGCAATCAAGCTTGCCTAGAGTAAAGGGAATTTACAAGGCCTAAGACATCATGCATTGGGTAAAGATTGTAAAAGTCATGAAACTTGTACAAAAGTTACAACAGCTCAGAGGGGGAGCAGGTGGGGACTCGATCTTGTAAATTGGGCACTATCTACAGGGAAGCCAATCATCCCCTGAAGCTGCCTACTGGAAATGCCTAGGAGATAAGTGGAGGTATACCCTTCATTAGGTCTAAGGAATGTCATTTGGGAAGGTGCAAGAGAATTAGAATCCTTGTCACGCCCTTCTCCAGGGGCTATGATAATGTGGGCAAACATTAATGGGTCTCTGTGTCACAGGTTCTCCAAGACATCCACAGGTGGTCGATAAGGAAGTCACAGCAGTCATGGCAGTCACATGCAACATCTCCAAGAAAAGGATTTAAGCCAGGACTCTGGGGGGCTACGTGGCCACACTCACCTAGAGTGTAGGCCCACTGCCTATCTGTGGGGGGCGAATTTTTCTTAAATAAATCTTTTCTTCTCTCATTTCTGCTGCAATTCTTTGCATTTACTTGGATCTCTGGGTTGCCGGTGCGCACCTCTGGCTTTCCAGCCCTGGCAGTGCTGTGCGCCTCCCTGAGCCTCTCCACCCTCACCCGGTCTGTCCGTCTGTACCTTAACACATATTCTGATGCAAGGCTGTGCAAGATGATTAATTGGAGAATAGGAAACAATAGAGTTATTATTTATGTATATATTCTTATATAAAATATGAAAGATATAAAATTTTGTCAGTATAGTTTATTCATTTATGTTGTACTCTCCTTGTTTTTCTGGGTTTATCTGTGGGGTTGGCTGGGTCAAGAGGAAGAGAAGGAGTCCACCGCTTGGAGAGGTTGAAAGTCACACCCATTTTCATTGCTTCCGTTTTATAGGGCAATGACATTTTGTGGCTCATGAGTGTCCAGTAGATATGAATTAAATTTTTTTATCTTAAATGTGACCTCAAAATACACACATATGGCTTCAAAGTCAGAGTCAGAGAACAGATTAAATGCAAAGACAATGAACTAGAATGAAACATAAGAGTCAGAAACTAAGATAACAAGCTGACATTAAAAAGAAGCCGTGCTAAAACCTCAATTTCTCAACCAACTCATCTTTGACAAAGCCTCCACCACCTACCACTGGGGAGAGGAGAACCTATTCAGTAAATGGTGCTGGGAAAACTGGCTGACCACATGCAGAAGATTGAAACAGGACCCCTATCTATCCCCATGCACAAAGGTTA